AGAGATGAGGTCTCGCCAAGTTGCCCAGGCAGGTCTCGAACCCGCGGGCTCAGGCAATCCACTCACCTCAGCCTCCCAAATGCGTGGGATTCAGGCTGAGCCAACGAGCCCGGCTTCAATAAGAATATTATTATGCAGTGTTGGCGGGTGAGGGGAGAGAATGGAGCAGTTATTAAAAATGTCATTCACAGATAGTTCAGAAAAGATTAGACTTGAAGAAAGACATTTAAATTTGACCACGATGAGATAATTAGTGACCTCCAAACCACAGATTCAATGAAGTGGTAAGATCAGAAGCCCAAAAATTAAGACAGAAGATGAAAATTACTTATTTCAGTATTCAAGAAGACGAATGGAAATTGGAAAGGGCAGAAAGGTCAAATGAAGAATTTTCTTTAATGCAGAATGAATTGTGGGTTTTAGGGTAGAAAGAAGGGAGAAAGACTTCGAGAAAGGCTTCAGAGCAAGATAAGCATCGTTACAAAGAGACAGGCTGGAGACAGGGCAGGTGACAGAGAGTGAGGTATGAGGGAAATAGAAAGGATGCAGACTGAATTTGTAGACATGGAGATGACGAATTTGGCCTAATAGTTCATGGAATCATAGAAACACACTTGGCACAGTTCCTTGTACACATAATAATGAGTCCTTAAATTACCATACCACTTTACATTTACCTAAGCAATTGATGTTATAGGGGTAGCTTTTAGGATCTCAGAAGTGAAGAAAAGCAAAACTTTGAGATCATTTACTGCAAGCTTACATCCAATGCACATGTCTCTATAACAGCTCTAAAGTGTGGTTATATCGATTTTCTGGAAACCCACTGGGGATGGAGAAGTCACTATTTTGTAGGATAATTGGTTCCATTTTTGCATAATAAGGATAACTGCCTATAGCACTGTGCTACACTCCCCTCAAGTCTGAAACCATCCCTAGAGTTTTCTAATTTTGCCACCCCTGTGGATCAGGGAATATGTGGCAGAGCCCATTTATTACACCAAAATAATGCAGAACAATCCCTAGAGTTCCTCTTTATTGAAACTGGCTTTGTGATTTCTGAGTGTTCCAAACTTTCCTGTCTTTGAGCATCATCCCAGATCATTCACCAAAAAAATTTACCTGTCTCCTTAGTTATTTCATTTAGTGGACATTTATGGAGTGCCTACAGCATACCAGGTACTGTGTTAGGCACAAGGGTTATGTGACTAATAAAATAAGCCATGGATACTGCCCTTAGAGAAACCCTAAAGTTCTGTGAACAAACATGTGTCAAGAGAAGTCCTTGAGAATATACTTTCGCAATAAATATTAAAACAATTACTTCCTACAACACATTTAGAGGTGCTGGGAAAACATTCCTTATATCTGACCACAGTCTTTCTTGCTTCTAACATCCCTTCACAACCCTTCAGTTTCACTAAATCTGTGTTACATTTTTTGAACTACACTTGGCTCAAATCACCTTACTGCTGCCTGCTTTAACATGGCATTGGAGATCTCAAACTCTGAATTAAGGAATCCTTACTTGCAAGAGTGGCCAGCCTAAATTCAACTCCAATTGTTTGCCTCCTTTGCCTTCAATAGCCTTGCCACAAAGCCTTATTAGATTAAAAAAAAATCATGAAACGCAACTATTATAGGTTAGTATTTCTAACTCTAAACTCAACATAACCTCATGGAGACTGTACTGTACAGGCATGCCCTCAAAATTTCTATTCACAAATGACCTCACATTCCTTAAAAAATCTTACTTATAAGCCTGAACTGCAAGCCCAACTCTGCCCCTCATTTATTGTGCAATCTGAGGAATAACAACTAATCTTTCTGAGCATTAGTTTCTTTGTGTGTAAATGGAAATAATCAGGCCAGACAGTCGACCTCACAGCACTTTGATGATTACAGAGGAACACCAAGGCTGCAAGACAAAAGACCAACGTTATTGTCTTGATTCCACCACTCACTGAATGTATAAACTTGAGAAACATCTGTCCTTTCTTTCTCACTCTGAGGTTCAATGTCTTCACCTGTCAAATAAGTAGATTTGAAGTGGTAACCTGCAAGTTCATTTCTAGCCAGGATTCCACAAGTTTACCAGTGTAGATGCTTACCCAAATTTCTTCCAGGCATTTCTTAAGGGCTCTCATAGATACTTTAAAAAAGAAGGTTAATATATGTAGGAAAAGAATCCAAGTGGGTAGAGTCACAACAATGGAATGACTATATCCAAAGAATGCTGGTCATGGGATCAACATTTGCTTAAGAGGAGAACTCTAGTGGCAAACTCAGGTCTTGAGCTATTTACTTTTTAAAAAATCAAAAATATGCTCAAAGATACTGCTAACATATTGATAAAGTTTGACACAAAAATGATGGCACAGAACTGACAGGGAAAGCTGTAACTAGATCACCAAAAACCTTGGCAAAGTAGAATAGAGAACAAGATCTACCCAGAAACAAGACATTTTTGCTGCACACCAGTTAAAAAATAAAATAAAACAAACTACATAATTGAAGTGTGAGGAAAAGGCTGGTAGAAGATTATTTAGGAAAATGAGATGCTAGTCCCATCTATGTGACGGGTATTAACCTAAATTAGCCCCAGTAATGCAGGTCCACCTGGCAAATTCCTTTCTCTTTCCCTGCACATGATCCTTCAACAGAG